TAAGCATTACTTATCTGGGCTCCTGGCCAGGATACCAGAAGGGGAACCGCCCACAATACAGGCTGGCTAGGCTTAATTTTTTGGTCTGGATTCTGTTTAGGGTTAAGCTTTGAGTAAATGTTAGCTGTATTGCTAGGGTTTAAATTAGGCTAATGGTTAGGATTAAGGCTTCGGTTTAGATGTATCTTAGGGGCGATTTTAGGATAAGGTTGGTGGAATATTTACCCTCCTCTTAATCATGTACAAGGCCCTGCGTCTATATTCCGGTGTCCTGCTTAGGCGGCCAGACTGGTAATTGTTATCGATTATTTTAGTTAGAAGTGTTAATAACTTAATGGGTCTAACAAACCTCGGAGTCCTAATAGTCTACCAAACACCAAAGAGGGAACCCAAGATCGATGCTCGTCTACTAGAGGAGCTGGAGTAACTTTCTACATGGTCGAATATCCTGATCATGGGTTACTTTAATGCGCCCCCTATTGACTGTCGCCTGTCCTACAAACATGTCTGAGAACTAACCTTCGATTATTGTCACTTGAAAATGACGCTCAAGTTATTTTGTCCCTCAATCGACATGCCCCTTTTCCAACTAGAGTGCGTGAAATCCAACAAGCCAGCTGCCTTGACCTTAAATTCACGAAATCGCAGAACAATATCGATGAGGTGTCATATCTACCTCTCCTAGGCTAAAGTGACCAGGTCATCATATTAGGGGAGTAGTTGCTCTTCTCAATGCCGGAAAGAGGCACTAAAGTCAGAAGCGGGGATCTCGACCAAACGAACGCTGATATCACACGCATTGTGTGGCATCCAAATTGTATGAAAACTTCATCGAGGACTCGAAACGGTTCTGAGGAACGCTCAACACACTCATCGCAACTCTAATTTGTAACTGGACAGGGCTGATTGCCCTCTGAGACACTATCATATAATTACAATCTCCTTCCTTTGAGTAACGCAACGACCCGATGATACATTCTGCATCATGTGCGGTCAGGACTGTTGTCTTGTACCAGGAAACTTTTTCGGGTTAACGACTACGATTAATTTAGAGGTCATCCATCCAAAATCCGTGTGACTGCCGTCAAGCTAGATTCGCGGAAGCTCTTCTTTTCCAGTAGAGTGCTTGAAACCAGAATTCCAATATACCTGCAATCGTAGCGGCTTTTAAAAGGAAAGTCGATCGGGCATAACAGTACCCATCCGATGCCATATTGAGGCTCGTGGCAACAGTATATTACTATTATACTGCTACTGCACGCATTTCAGTAGCATTTGTTTATGAATTGTTATCAGTTACTTAAATTCGACACTACTTCTGCCACTCATCTTGACGCTTGCTGAACGTTGAGATCGTACTCCCTTCTCTGAAGCTTATTTGCAGTTAGTCGAACCAGCGTACAACGATCCATAAATAATTGAAGTAGTCATCTATCTGTAATGTTTTGACGTTTTCGTTGCAACTGTTGACATCCCAGTTTCCCAATTTCTGATATACTTCCATTGCTTGAAACAAACAGGGAATTCAAACTTGCACACCCTCATTTTCGTAAAATAAATTGAACTGGACCAAATATAAAAATGCGCGGCCCTCGACGGGGACATGCCCCTCAATGTTATCCATCTTCTCTCTTCCTTCTGCCATACGGCAGTTGACCATTCCGGTCAAGTCGAGTGGAAATGAAATTGGGCTCAATAACTGACGAAGCTAGATGGCCCTCCTACGCCTGCCCAGCACAGTCTGATTCCCAGATAATGTATCAAGCTCTATTAATTCCAAGTTGCGTAATATACGCAGGTTCTGACATGCGTAGTTTTCTGCATCGGCGCCGACGAGGTGAATCTCCTGCCTCCTCTAGGAGGAGCACATAGAGTGATCAGCCACGCTGTAGAACTCTGCTTGAAATTGCGTCATCTTCCAATGTTTTTCCATTCGAAATCCGTTGCACTCCTCTTATTGTTTCTGGAAGGGGAGACTGATGGTTGTGCTAGTCGTTGATTTCAATTAGTGGAAGTCGGTTAATGGCTTTTTCTCAGATTGTGGATAGATGTTTGAAGATACCGGCACAGCGCGCTAGAATCTGTCGGACCTCCACTCACAAAGTAATTTCAGCTTGGCCAAAGGGTGGCATAATCCTCTTGGCTTGAGACCATTAGACCTCTTTGCTGGCTGCGAAAAAATATTCCTCTCTGTTCATTTTAAATTTATTCTGGATTCTCTAATAAATTCAAGTATATTGTATCGAAACCGTAAGCAAAAATATTCATTCTTTTACTGATTTAGCAGAAAATCACGTTTTTTAAAAGCTAGTATTAAAAAAAGGATTTTGGGTTTTAACACGTTTCCTGATTTCCGAAAGTTTTTGAGCCCGAACTGTCGTGGCATTCGCATTTAGCGTTTTTACTATATAAGCTATATGCCTTCCATCTAGAGAAAATGATACATTTCTGTAAACTTCTATGCAGATACATTAAAATGTTCAAAAATGTGCAATGGTGAGCTTTACCAGTCCCGAGTCACTTTCCGCTACAGAGGATAAGCATTCCTCGAGCCCTAAGCAGTTCTGCCTAGTCATTCTAGGTGGCTACTTAATTTTACTATGGGTCGGAATTTTTGACAAGTGGGATCACTACAGGAAATAGCCTGAGCATGGACAGGACTTTGCTGATTCAAAAATGAG